TCCCTTAAGGGAGGGAGTGAACAGGACAGGGCCGGCCTGTTTTCAGTGGTGGCCACCGGCAGAACTAGAGTTAATGGTCGCAAATTGAAATGCCAAAAGTTCCACAGGAACTTAAGGAAAATTTTCTTGACAGTGAGGGTGACAGAGCACTGGAACAGGCTGCCCAGAGAGGTTGTGGAGTCTCCTTCTCTGGAGATCTTCCAAACCCACTTGGACGCAGTCCTGTGCCACGTGCTCTAGGTGACCCTGCGTGTGCAGGGAGTTGGACTAGACGATCTCTGGAGGTCCCTTCCAACCTTAAACATTATGATTACTGTTGCAAGTTTTGTGTAATGAAACAGTTCATCTGGGCATGTATAAAGAAGTGGGATGCCACTGTAATGGAATGATAACTGCAGCTCATCTACTCGGCAACATATTTATTTTAAAATTGATTTCTCTTTAGACTAATGAGAGTGCAGTTACTCCAGAGCAATCTGACTTTGGCTTAAGCATCTCGTCAATCAGCAAAGCTGGAGGAGAAGGCACTCACCCAAGAAGGGTTTGTAGAAACCTAATACTTATTTTAAAACAGGAACGTGTGTGTGGAGGGGGGAAATCACAAACGTGATGTGAACACCTTGTGTATTTTTATATAAAATATCACTATATAATTAGCAGAAGGTTCAGTGTTATCTGATGTGGGCAGTGTTTTTGTCCTTAAAGCTCAATGTTTATAATTAAAGTGGAAGATGGATCTCAGATTCTTGAATCAGATGATAAGAGATTTTGCAGTTAAGTTGTTGCAGTTAAGTATTGCAGTTAAAAGATATGCTTTCTTATTCCATTGTTGCCACTGATTCTGTGGTCAGTTTTTGCCATGTTTAGAACTGTACGGGCAGAAAGGGAATGATGCACAGCAACTATAACCAAAATTTGGCCCAGTGCATTTTTGGTGGTAGAACTGCCATCCTGATAAAGCTTATCAAAACAGTATTTTCTCAAAAGGGCCAAATAATTGACTTCCGTGGGATGATCCAGGATGCCATCAAAGTATCATCACATGAGATAACCTTGAGCAGCCTTAATTGTGATCCAGATCCATCAGTAAGTCTTTCTATTCATATTTTATCCAATTAGCATGATTGTCAGTTATAGAGCCAAGAACAAAATACTAAAATAGTCTTGTCTGGGTTCCCAAGAGCTAAAGAAGCACTTGGTTCCTGGGAGTGTGTTTCCTTTTTCAGTCATTCTTGATACTGGTCTGATAAGTTGAAAGTTGTTTACTCTTTGAACACAGAATTAAGCAACAAATGCAAGTTATATCTTACAAGTCACAAACTACTCAATTTGAAGAAAGCCACAGAAACTTATGTGGTAAAATTTTGGTTCCACCAAATTGAGTATGTCGGTTAGCATTCACCTCAGAGTCAGAAGCACAATTTAGAGGATTGGGATACACATTTTAAGTAAGTGGGTTATTGCTGACACAAGCCACAATTTCCAGGCCAGTGCTTCCAGCTTAACTCAATACCATTTTGAGTCTATCTCTCTGGCCCCTATTGTATTTGAATAAAATTTCAAAACAGAGCATGTAGCAATTTGGTGACCTGTATTTACATTTTCAGCTCCTTTAGTCCACATTATTAAAATCTACATTATTAAAATTAAAACACGTAAGATATATTTGGGGCTACTTGGGCAGTAAGAGAGCTACTCGCTTTAATGTTAGTTCAGAATTAGAATCTGTCATTTCTTCAGTATAGGAAACTGATATGAAAAGATAAAAGTTTTTAAACCTCACCCGGGAAAGAAGAGGTTAATGCAAATATGACTTATTTCAAAGTACTGTGTATATTTACTTACTCTTATATCCATACCTTTGCAGCTTTAAAAGTTACTATTATTATGATGTATTAATTTTTTGAAATTATTTCACAATTTGTCTTCTATTTAAAATAATTGACCTTTGACAAGGACTTATTTTGGTCTTTTTTAGGAACGATTATTAAAACCCCTCAGTGCTTTTATTGGCATGAGTGGTGAGATGAGAGAACTTGCAACAGTTATAAGCAAAGTAAGGTTGGACCTCTCTTTCAGCCTGTCATTTGTTTCAGTGCTTCTCTGTTTTTTATATTTACACTGAGCCTGTAAAACAGTGTTTTTCTTACTGCTATTTTAGAAGAAGAAGAAGAAAAAAACGATAGGGTTGCTTTAGCCTCTGTTATGGAATGTTTTTGAGATTGTCTTAGTATATGCCTATTTGCTATGGTAATTATCACTCTATCACTTTAAATCAATAAAATAAATAACATGTGGTATTTATTTCACCATGTAATCTAATTTAACTTGGAAGCACTTATTGAAATCTCTACTTAGTATCATAAATCTGATTCATCTTAATTTGTTGTTAATAGAAAGGGAAAGTGTAATCTACTCTATATAAATAATTTTTCTAGTTGTATTAAATCAAATTTTGCCCCTGGTTACAAGTGCATAAATCTTCTTCAGTCTCGAGGAACTGCCTGTTTTTATTGAATAGTAGAATTTATCCCAAGTATTTGTATTGAGGATATGGTATTTTCTGCTGAACAATTAGTCTCCGGAACACCAGGCCACAAAATATTACTAAGAGAAATGAGAGGATCTGGGTAGTTCAATGAATTGAATGAAATTGAGTCAGTGCTTCAGAGCACAGACTAATTACCGACTATCTTTGGAGAGCAGATAGGGGTTTAGGGGGAAATATTTCTCCTGCTACAGAGCTTCTTGCACCTTTTCCTGCAGTATCTGTAGTCTTGCATAGAGTGAACTAAACACAGAGCAATTTTCCCTGTTATTCATAACATAAGGTGTAGATGCAGCCATCTAGCAAACTGTTGAGCTGCAAGTTCAAACTAAAGTACTTTTTTACATGGTATATGATTAAATTGTGGAACTCATTGCTACAGTATATGTGTGTCCAAAGAGAGGTCAGAGAGATTCACCGAAGAACCAACAACAAACAGTGGTTGAACACAAAGGCAAGGATGCTGTTTCTAGCTGCCAAAATTGCAAATTTCCAGAAGCTGGATGTGTAGAAGTATCAACCTGTCTCTGCCACTTCTTATGATTTTCCTTTAAATATCCAGTACTTGCCGCTATCAGAGGCCAAATGTTAAACCTGGTATATCTTAATATCACTATAGCTACTCATATATTGGTCACTGTTGGAGGTAACAAATCTAGCCCAGATCTGGGCTGCATATGCATTTGATTGTAGGAAAGTAAAGCATAATAGCAGTGTGGAAATGATCACTCTGTATATATATATTTTTTTTCGTGCGATCTGACCAGTATGCATGGTTAAATAATATAACTTGCATCACTTAATAGCGCTGTTGCTTTGTAACCCAGGTGGATTCTTTTCTTTGCCAGCAGTGGTTATCCTAGGGCAAGAAAATAAATTTTTTGCTAACCAGATGCAATATATGTTACAGGATATTTATCTCCATAATCTAAATGTGAAGTGGGATGATATTATTGGACTGGATGCAGCCAAAAGACTAGTCAAGGAAGCAGTTGTTTATCCCATACGGGTAAGGTTTTTAAATGGATTTGAGAAAACCACTGTTGGGCTTCCTAGCATTTTCTTTGTAAATGCAATGGCATTCTTGAATTCTCACTATTCCTGTGATTTTAGGAGGCAATTCCTCTTTGAACAGCAGGGTTTTATTTGGCCATATCACACAGATTCTTCCATAGGAAAATAGCTTTTCATATTAAAATGTCAACTTCGGATACTGTTCTTTAGCACTTCAGCAATATAAGAGACAGTGGATCTAGCCTATACCATTTCAGAAGAAAGTTACTTACAGAAGAGAATGGCCAATTGCATTTGGAAAAAAAAAATGAAACAGTTAAATATAGTATTTTTCTCAGCATTCAGATTGCATTTGTTATATTGTTTTTATAAGGTTTTTTTCCTTCCTTGGTTTTTCTCAGGTTTTGTGAATGCATGAGGAGCAGGGAGTAGGGGTTGGAGTTCCTTGTATTTTGTTACAGGTGATACATATAAGCCCCAAATTACCTTTTTGCTTCCGCAGTACCCACAGCTGTTCACAGGCATTCTCTCTCCTTGGAAAGGATTATTGCTGTATGGGCCACCAGGTATGGAGAGTTTTATACCATATTCATTAGTTTATCACTGCTTCGGCCTTGTCCTACAAATAAATTCTTGGTGCTAATCAAATGCATTTAAGTATCACTGATAACATATTCTGTATTTTGAAATAAAAGGAGTCTATTTTGGATAATTGTCTGTCTCTCATTGATCAAATCTGCCCATTTACCTTTCACACAAGTTGAAGACTATTCCTACACCTGAATTTTCCAAAACACATTACTTGTACTAGCCACTCAGATGCGTGAGGATTTATTTGATATTTCTGTTGTTACTCAACTTGGACCACATAAATCCAGCTTGGCCTGACTTGATCTTCTAGAACGTGACTCAGACTTGCCTTTCTAAGGAAAATGTCCTTGATTTCTCTGCTGCCTTTAGGGATTGTTTTGGAGATGGGAAGGAGCCTCTGTCCTTTGTGGCAGTTGGTTTTCCATGTCAGCAAGGCCTCCTTGCTCCCCCTGCTCCAGTTGAGTGCAAGGAATATGGCTCTCCACGGCTGGGAGGGGAAGGAGGCACAACCTGATACAGGCTGCAAAGGCTGCTACTGCAGTCAGCCCCATTTGCTCCTGTGGATGCTTGGATGGGCTTTCCACAGAAGGACTGTGGTCCTGGAAAGACTTGACCGATTTATTCTCCTATTGAGATATTTACACTGTGTTTCTTGGGAGAGTGAATTTCTTCAACGCTGTTGTTTGTAGGTACTGGAAAAACTTTGCTTGCTAAGGCTGTTGCCACTGAATGCAGTACGACCTTTTTCAACATATCAGCATCCACTATTGTCAGCAAGTGGAGAGGTGATTCAGAAAAACTTGTCCGGGTAAGAATGATCTTATTCATACTTGAATAAATATCACTTAAAATTTGCGCTTAAAGAATTAGAGTTTTCAGATGAACCGAACAGAGAACTGTAAAATAGGTATTTCTCTGTCAGTCTTTTTTTACCCTCTTAGAGCATGTGATTCTGTTTTGTATCTGTCTTTAAAACTGGAATAACATTGCTTCTGCAGAAGTATCATACTGCATTCTTGCAGTGGAATTTCAGTTCTGTGACACAAGTTGAAGGATATACCTGAAAGCTAGCAAATATTTTTGGCTCATTGATAAGGAACAGGCAAGCAGAATTCCTAAATAAAATGACACTTGCTTAGCAACTCCTCTGAAGTGCTTCACATTCTTTCTGCAAGGTTAGGCTCGTAGGCTGCCTGTGAAAATGCATCTATGTGTAAGTTTCCAAATTCACAACTGTTCATAATTTGCAGGACATGGAATTGCTAAAGAATTTTCTAAATTCCCTTGCTAAAATCATAAAGATCTTATAGTCAAACACAGTGCAATGCTCTTTTAAGGTAGGTAATCGTCTGGCAAGTAGATCAATGCATTTGGGCCTGTAGACTGGCAAGCAGCATGCATGATTCAGCTGTCATACAGGAAAAAGCCCAGGTCTCTTACTCTTCCTTTACACTCATCTGTTAGGATGTGCTTCAGAGGGATACAGAGATACACAGTAATCCTGATGGATTGCACTTGGCAAATGGCAGCACCAGCGTTGTTGATATTTTAAATGTCCATCCAAATTTAGGCAGTCTGCAACATAATTTTTCTTAGTGTGTCCTTTGTCCTGTAAAATAGCACATTTTTTCTTCTGGCAGAAGATGCATTGTTCTTCCTGGCATCTGTCTCAGTAACTTCCTGGAAGTTTCCCTCCTGTCAGAAGGGATGGGGTGACCTTCTTGGTGTCACAGCACCGATCTAAAGGGTTTTGTGAACATGCACAGTGCTTGCATCGATGTTTAACCTGTGGTATTTCCCCCATAGTTGTATTTTTGGCAGAATCCAGGATGAAATAGGATTGTGACTCTGGACAGCTCTAAGAGAAATATTCCATTAAGTTGTGTGCTGAACTGACATGAGGCTGGAGCGTGGGTCTTCTGAGGCTGTGCGGAGCATAAGTGGTTTTGTGCTCAGTTGGAAGAATTCCCACTCATGCTTTTCCCTCAATTCTTAGCTGCATGAGAATGAATTTGTATTTTAAATTATAAACAACAAACTGTCAACATCTCTTACGTGAGAGCAGCAATAGGAGAAGTACAAACGAAATTGCTGTCATAGCACCTGCTTTTTGTTTCAGCAATCATCTTGGAAAAGCTACTCACATGGCAAGTTTCTTATGTCATGCAGCTACTTAATCATAAACTTCTGCCACCTCCAACAGTACTAATTACAGTGGCAATCATGGATTCCTTGTGACTCTAGGCAAATAATTTAAACCCTGGGCTTCATATATAAAGTAGAGAGAAAACATACAGACCTTTTATTTTTTTCTAAGAGTTCAGGTTAAAAATGCTGGATTAATAGATGCTTGCAGTAATGTTTGTTTAGAAAGTCAAAGGACATCACACTGAGGAACAATTTGTAGTGTATTCTTATTAATTTAAGTCCCTTCATGCTTACAGCAAAAACAATAAAACTTTTTTTTTCTTTTTGAAAGACCCAGATTTCCTGTCAGCTTAATATTCCATTTTTTAATCTAGCCCTGATTATTTCAACAGTTTACATTTGTTTTCACCAGCCAAAAAAAACCCTGCTTAATTCTTATTAAGAGAATCAGCCCATTTTCTTCTTTCCTTATGTTTCAGTGTATTTTTTCCTCAAATCCTTATTTAAAAAAAAACTACAAATGGAGCAACAATAAAAGAAGGAGGTTTAATCTCTGATAACAGTTTAGGAGTTCCCAGAATCCCCCGATGGATCATTTTCCTCTATCCCATTATTCTCAGGGTACTCTGATAGGATTTAGACAGAAAGATTTACATGTAGAGACAGGATTATGTGCCTGGGTTCTTTATCTCTCCTTTATAAACCTTTCAGAATCCGAGAGGATTCAGAGACCCTCAGCCAGCCCTGAGCCTTTTCCCAGCATATATCCCTTTTTGTCCTAGAAGTTCTGCAACGTGAATGTTATTTATCTTTTATGCCAGTGGCCCTTAATGCCTTTTTTTTTTTTCTTTCTGTGTGTTAGTTTTCTTGTTAATCTTTTCTGCTGCTTTTACTCCCTAACAGGTGCTATTTGAGCTTGCCCGCTACCATGCTCCTTCCACGATTTTCTTGGACGAGCTGGAGTCCGTTATGAGTCAGAGAGGCACCGTGGCTGGGTAACTGATCAGACCACTTCCTATGGAATCGGGGAATCCAGTTTGGCTAAGATTTGTTCAGGTGCTGATAAATCACACAGCGTACCTGCTAGAAACAAATCTTAGACAGACTGTAACAACATGCCTGGGTCCCCAAACACTAGTCCTTTTTAGACCGCATCAGCAGCATGATTATTTTGGGTGATAATGGTAACTTTCATGATTTTTCGTTAAGCAATTTTTTCTTTTGCTGTCAGCTTTAGGAGCCTGGTAATGCAGCATTTGCAGAGGCTCTTGGTGCTGACAGTGCCATTTGATATCAGCACTGCACACGCTGTAGGGACTCAGAGAGATGTGGTTGGTCTTTCATTCACAGCAGATGGGATCAGTAGAGGAGAAATCATGTAAATGAGGTTACATGAAGCCTAGTAGGTTAGCCCATGGAAATAATGGGCCTAGCAAGCCATATAACCTGCATTGTTGTATTTTAAAGTTATGTATATGAAGGGAAGGTAAAGACAGTGGGGAGAATAAGGAGATGAGTTGTTAGAGGTGAGTGAGAAGATGGTGATTTTGTGATGCTTTGGGCAGGCCAAGGCATTTCAGGGTAGGATGTGCAGTGAAATCGTGTTTTCATTAACAGGATAAATGCTGATGGCGCTGTCAGAACTTGCAGGAGTGGGAGAGTATTATCACTGCCATCCATGGTGCAGATGTTTATAGTTTAGAAAAGACATCGGAAAGATTGAGCTTGGGGGAGGAACAGGAGAAGTGTAAAGAAATTGATATACCCAGTGGGAGCCCATAACAGTGAAATTTATCTGTTGTAAATTAAAGGCTCAAAGATATATAAATAGAATATGCCATATAGTAAATGTACAGCATGTAATACTTGCCATTTAATACCTGTGAATTATGGGCTAAATTTTGCCTTTGTATATCTTTTTAAAGCTCTCATTAACATCACTAGATGAGCCATTTTCAGCATGGCTTGTAACTAAGACTGCAGGTTAGTAGAATATGTCATTATTAAATATTGATGGAGGCATCCATAGCTGCTTTTGTAGAAAAAAGCCTTAAACCTGAGCTCTAGTTTTTGCCATCTAAGGCCAGGATGTTTTTTCTGGATTCAGTTCCACAGGGTATCAGGGACCTAAAGTTCAAACAGGTTTCCTGCAAAATTGATTTTCTGAATCAGGGCCAAAATTCTTTGTAATTTCCTATTCTTTAGTAATAAGTAATTGCTTAGTAATTTAAAAAGTCCTTAAGTTGAGAAATGATCCTTTTTTCACTGTTTAAAGAAATCTGCCCTATTTTCCAGTTCGAATACTGCATGTTTTTCTGCTTGCTTCTGATAAAGTATTTTGTGATATATAGAATGCAGCAGTACATGTATCTCCTTGTCACCACTTAAAATTCCCTCAGAAAAGTGCAAATAGTTGCCTTGGGTAGGTAGATATTTTAATAGCTTTATGCCAACTGTTACGTTACAAAAATTCTCCTACATCAGTCACTCAAAGCTGTTTTCCAGTAAACATCAACTCCGCATAAAGATTAATATGAAGAAAAAAACACACTAAGCATATATTTTCTTTGGGTTCAGTAATAGTGAACTCTCCTCACTTTAATGCACTGAAAAGAGTCCATTTAAGTAATCATTACAAAGCTTGATTTTTAATGCTTAGCTGTCAGCTAATGGAGCTTAATCATGCCCTGAACGGGGACAAAACCGTGATGAGGGCTCAGTTGCTGTGAATGACACTGTATAAATAAAGATGATTACTTTAATGCACTGAGCAAATACTCTTTCTCTACATCTTGGTAGTGGTGAACATGAAGGAAGTCGACGGATGAAAACAGAATTACTGGTGCAGATGGATGGCTTGGCCCGATCTGATGATCTTGTATTTGTTTTAGCAGCTTCCAATCTGCCATGGTAAGAGATCCAGAGAGTACATTTTGAATACATTTGCTTGAGCTTCTAAGCACAGATAAAGATTTTATTTAGAATTTTGCAGGAAAAAAAAGCCTTGATATTTGGTTAAAGCATTTAAAGATTAATTTGGAGCTTTTACTTTTAAACTCCACAGTTCTTGCTATTTGTGCCACATGACAGTAATCCATAGTAAATTCAACACATGCTAGTGCTACTAGCTGCTAATATTTAAAATGGAATACTTTATTTCATAGCCAAGTTATTTACTATGTTTAAGCTAAGCAGAGTTTCAGCTTGGAGCTATAAGGTGCTTAAAACATCTAGTGCTTAGGATACTCCATAAATAGGAAGGATGGATTTTTATCGGTATCAAACATGACTTTTAGCAGATGGGGGCTTTTTTTTTCAGTTTCTTTAACATAATTTAGAACACAAGAATAAGTGGCTTACAATGGGAACTGAAACACTTCATATTTTGGTGCTAAAAGACACCTGGCTGAACCCACCTCCCGAGGATGACGTGTGGTTCTGGTCACTGTGTCTTGAGAAGGCTCTGATGGCAAAATGTGTGTCAGTTTGGGGCATTTAAGCCTTCGACTTTGAGTTTCATAAATCTCAGTCAGTGCAAAATCTACCCTATTTTGTGTTACAATATATATGTGAAAATGCTGAAAAATAAAGAGCTACTGGGAGTGTGAAGAGTTAGCTTTGAAGGAGAGTTAACACGTTAATAGTCCATTCTTCTCTGCATGGTTCATTAGTAATAAGCTAGAAAATGTTAATGTTATTATTGTAACATAAACATATATTATTATAAGATAACATTATCGTTATGTTATTATAATTTCTCTTTTAGAAAGAGTAGCTAAGCTTCACAAGTAGCACTGCTCTGGAGCAGGGCGAAGAGGGGTCAGGTGTCCTTAGAAGGATCCAGGTCTTTCTGGCACGCTGGTTTGAAAGGAAAAATTTGGTTTCCAAAGGCACCAAAGGAGAGCCTGGAGAGAGGAGCGGGTTTGATGGGGCTTGAGCTGGGGGTCCTGGAGATGCCAGTGCAGCCTGGAGGCTGGTGCCGCTCTGGGTGTTCCTGGAGGGAGAGAGGTCGCTGAGTGTGGCTGCTTCTTAGGCATCTTTCTCTTGCAGCTAATAAACCCTTCATGGGAAGTCCTGTCAGAATTACAGAATACAGTTTTGAATGTCTTACACGCTTGATTTTGGAACATTCTGAAGTGTTACTTTCTGTAAAATTGCCTGCTTGAAATGCCAAAAAAAAATGACATTGCTTTTCTAATATAGATGCAAAATGACAAGATTTCTATTTCAGAGGAACTGGCCCTATGGGGAGCCAGAAATCCATGTCGGGACGAGGGTGGAGCTGAGCAATTGCCAGAATCCCGCTCCCTCTGTGGGAAGCCCCACACAGGACAACTTTCTGGAATTCTCCAACATTTTTCATAGGGCAGGTTGGATTTCACCCTCTCCTCAACAAATCCTATGAGCATCACGACCAGATTTTTGGGCAGAAAGTGTCTAGCACAGAAAATGATGCTCTAGAAATGTGGCTGAGTGTGTGCTTGGAAGGCCACTGAAATCCATAAGGATCCTGCTTTGCTGTTCTGATTCACAGCCAGGGAAATTTGGGAATATCCACATTGCCTCTGGAAGTATCAGTGGGGCTTGAACTCCCACCTGATGATCTCAAGTCTGTGTTTGCTGTGTATTTGTCTCTGTATTAAACAACACCAGATCATATTGTAAGATACTAGACTTCAACTGAGAAAATGATATTTTATTATATATTATTTTTATATGCATACATTAAAAAATCAGAAATAATTATATATTTATGTAGTTACATTTATGAAATACCTAGTACCTAACTGACTGCTCTGAAGGTTGTGGCTTCACAGCAGACCCCCGTATTCTTGCAAACATTTGGAGCTAAGCTAGATTTTAAGAGATTTGTTTAACTTGGATATTTATTGATCATCCCCCCCAAAAAAATCAACCCAAAAGAGTTCCAAGCTGCTTTTAGATGAATGTAAAGAAGCCTAAAAAAAAAGCTCTTTACGGTGTCCTAAGCTGCACTGCAGCTACTGCTCTTCCTTTTTAGCACCCTGAACGGCAGGACAGGAGCTGGGAAGGGATGAGGAGCTTCTCTGTCCTGGTGCCTGTCCTGGGCCCTGCCGTGGTCATCACGCTGGACGAGAGATGAGTTGTGGACCCGTCTTGTCGCTGTCTCGAGGTTCATCCTGGGAACTGGGGCATGTCTCAGTTTCTGCCTGGAGCAAAACATGCTGCTCTTTGTAGTTTGGATTTTGGTACCGCTCTTTATTCTGAAGTTAAAATAGTTGTGTTGAGTTCATGAAATCTGGCAGCAACAACAGGTTTTGATGTCCTGTGATGTCATCCTGGGGGAGCTCTGAAATGACCCTGCTGTAGGTCCTGCACAGCTCTACGTGCTCTTTTCGTGGGCATTTCTTAATGCCTTTACTGGTTACTATTTAGAGGATATTTTTATTGCTTTGGTGCTTCTTTTATTCTGGATATTATCGTCATTTAAGCTCACATTTTATCAGTAACAAAACAATTGTGGCAAACAACCTGAGCACCCTTAGATAATAATCTCTGTCTTCCTCCTCAGCCGACAAGCAGGGGCACTGTAACCTTTCTGAGTAAACAGAGTTAATTTCTGTGTATCAGCAGACTTATTTATCGAACTCCCTATGCCAAGAAAACTTCTTAGCCCTCAGTTTCCCTGCTTGCATTTTTTACAAACAATTTTGGATTCAGTTTTGTTATTGTTAGATGCAAACAACTGCAAAGCACTTTGGAGAAAAATAGATTAAAATGAATGCTTTGGAGATAAGTATAAAAGACTTTTGGATGAGGGCACACAGGGCATCCTGAGCAGGTTTGCAGATGACACCAAACTGGGAGGCGTGGTCGACACCCCCGAGGGCTGCGCTGCCATTCAGAGGGACCTGGACAGGATGGAGAGTTGGGCAGAGAGGAACCTCCTGAGGTTCAACAAAGACGAGTGCAGGGTCCTGCACCTGAGGAGGAACAACCCCAGGCCCCAGCACAGACTAGGGGTTGACCTGCTGGAAAGCAGCTCTGCAGAGAGGATTTGGGAGTCCTGGTTGATAACAGGTTCCCCATGAGGCAGCAACGTGCCCTCGTGGCCAAGGAGGCCCATGGGCTCCTGGCTGCAGCAGGAGGAGCGGTGCCAGCAGGGCCAGGGAGGGGATCCTGCCCCTCTGCTCAGCTCTGGGGAGGCACCTGGAGCATCGGGGGCAGCTCTGGGCTCCCCAGGACAAGAGGGACCTGGAGCTGCTCGAGAGGGGCCAGCGCAGGGCCACGAAGGTGATGGAGGGACTGGAGCATCTGTCGTGTGAGGAGAGACTGAGCGAGCGGGGCCTGTTCAGCCTGGAGAAGAGAAGGCTGAGAGGGATCTGAGCAACATGTTCAAGTACCTGAGGGGAGAGTGTAGGGAGGATGGGGCCAGGCTCTCAGAGAGGCTGTGGAGGCTCCTTCTCTGGAGATCTTCAAACCCGCCTGGATGCCACCCTGTGCCCCTGCTCTGGGTGTCCCTGCTGGAGCAGGGGTTGGACTGGATGGTCTATAGAGGTCCCTTCCAGCCTCAAACATCCTGGAATTCTGTGCAATTCTGACCTTGCTGCTGCTAACACAGTGACCAAGGCTAGGCCGGATAATGACCCCCTCCTTTTCCGAACTAGCTCGCTCCATCAGCGGCCGGTCGCAGCCAGGAACTTGCGGTCGGTGTCGCGGCCACGGGAGGCGCCGGGCTGAGCTGTCTCCTCTGCTTGGTGGCTCGCAGGGAGCTGGACCCGGCCATGCTGCGGCGCCTGGAGAAGCGGATCCTGGTGACCCTGCCC